CCGAAAACCAACTCTGACAGCACCTTGATCTTGAACGTCTAGCTTTCAGAACTGTGAGACGATGCATTTCCATTAAGCCACCCAGTCTGCGATATTCTGTTATGGCAGCCGAGCAGACTCATACGGACATGAACTATCTACAGGAGAAAGACATTTGTCCTCTTCTCTAACTGAAGCCATCCTTAAAGTTCCTAAGCCTACCCATGTCACGGATGTACACTGTCTTGGCTGTGGCGGCTCCCACTGATAAAGGATATTAGAACATGCTTTCTTTACTGAGCACTTATTACAGTGGACATCTCAGAATCACAGAAAGCTAAAGAGGCTTCTCCTTTCTTAAAAAAAAAGCCTTGTCCATACTGGTACTAAATCTTTCTGATTATAAAAGCCCTCCACACTCTCTTCTGCCATAAAAATGAGAAACTACTCTCAAAGAGCTATAGGCTTGTGGAGATAAAAGCACCCTGAAGTTTTCGGCGTTTTCTGCTGGATGCGACAGCGCCGCTTGGCCTCCAGGTCAGCATCCAGGGCAGTAGCTGCTGCTGTTCTCTACTCTGAGCCGCCCCGCCTGTGGTTCACCTACACACCACCACGGTCCCCCGAGCACCAAAACACACCAGCTCTCTAATGCCAGGCTGCTCTCCTCTGCTGGTCAGAACCACAGCCCAACGGTGGAGAACCCTATCACTGTTTTCACAGTTACAGCACCCCGACACAGCCATAAATTGATTTCGAGACCTTTCTCTTGTTCCACTACTGGCCTCATCTTTAATGTGGATAAGACCTACCAGTGAGACTCTCAGGGCAGGCAGGTGTTGAGCTTGCGGTCTGTTCCTAACAAGGGACAGCGGAAAGTTCCCTCTCCATCCTGATGAGGTGGCTATATCTCTTACCTTAACTAGAGCGTGCAGTTCATACATCTGCCAAAATTTACTCTGACTCTTGTTATGCCTCTAGAGCTGGCTATGCCTTTGGAGTTGTTCATAATCCTAGACAGCAGTAGAAATAACAGAAGTCTCTTACCTCAGCTGTGTTAACATTCTAATAGCCCTGGTATAAAACATTTTACTCCGCAAAACCTCATACTGATGTTATGTGTGGACAATTCTAGATGATGCTGCAGTGTAAGGCAGAAGTCATATCCTTTTCCCCTGGCCACACTGCCATTTTTGTTCTCATTCACCAAACAGTCTCCCTTAACAAAGATGCTGTCTTGAGGACAGGATCCAAATTCAGAGAAGCACTGTTAAATACAGCAAGATCATTTTAACACCCAGGAAACGTCTCAATATCACTGTCCTGCCCCACTTTTGTTGTCATTCAAATACCTTCTCCTTCACCATGTACGTAAAATCATGACAAGGTACAAGGGTTCATAGGAGGATAATAAGAATAGCTAGGAATGACTGGTACACCCAGAATTGTTGTCAACTCTTTCACTTGCCGTCAAATCCGCTGTGTGAGCACATCAGTTAAGACAAAGAGAACAACAAGCTACCCTCATCCATGAGGACCATTGGTAAACATTCAAATCTTATCCAAATGAAGAAATGGGCTACATGTAAGTTAATGTATTTTGGAATGAGTAGAAGCATATTTCAGCTTTTCACTGACACAGTTAAAAGATGTTATTCCTAGATTTAGGATATTCTTGCCAATAAAGAGAAGATGACACACTTTAACAGATTTAAAGGAAGTCTGTTAAAACATACACAATCTAACTAGGAATCACTGTCCCCATCGCCCAGAACCAGCTGGAACAGTGGCGCATCAAAATGAAATACTATAAAATAAACTGGCCCATGACCTTAACAAGTATGAGAGGCACAACTAATAAAAAGACCCACTACAGTCTATTCCACAGAGCAGCGAAGGTGAGCTTTCCCGAACAGAAATAGATAATGTGGTTTCTGATCACATTTAGAATTCCAAATTCATAAAGCTTTGCCTCAGGCCTATTGCTTCTCTGACCCCAAATTGTAGTTGCAGTAATTTTCTACTGTATTAGGTTGTAATACCATAAGGAAGTGTACGCTTAAGGAAGGCACACTGCTAGATGAGCCGAAAAGCAGGTCTATGACACCCAACAGTCAACGAACCCCCTTAAAATTAGAAGAGAAAACATAGCGGATGTTCATGAGGAAAACTAGCCTCACATACAACTCCTCAACTACGTCACTCACAAGTAAAAATCCGTTCCAAAAAGAACCAACTGTGCACAGCAGACACTTTAAGATGGGGGCCCCTGGGTCTGTAAGTAAGTTCCATAACTCAGCACCTGCACCATCTTATGTATTTTACAATAACTGTCCCAGTGGAACCTCCTCTCTTTTTTTTTTTTTTTTTTTTTTACAAATGCATGTGTCCACTTTAACATGCAATGTCTGTGAGGTAATTCCTGAAAACCTCACACTTACTCGGGAGCTTGCCATATTATAGTCACTAGCTATAGGATTCTAGAAAATAAATACTAAAAGTAAATGTACCCAACACCACATGCAAAGTAGCTGCTAGTTACACTACCCCTTTCTGAGAAATTCTCAAAGCACAGCCATCTCCCCCTGAGGGGTTAGCTCATATCCAGCCATGCAGAGCCTCCAACCTTCTTTACACGTACCTCTCCTCTCCTTTCCTTCCACTCCCCACTCTGGCCATAGCTAACCAGACTGCTGGTGGTGTCCGGCCAGAGGGCAGCATTGATAGGTAGACTGACATCCCACATAGTGGCCTGGCATGAACACTATGCCCCACCCTCCGCAAATATCCAATACTGGATAGTGATGAACAGACCCCATCAAATCCTCATATGAGCTCTGGGTGTGAAACAAAGAGGAAAAAGAATCCAAGATAAATGAAAGATACAAATAACAGCCACGAAACAGTCTAAATCGTGAGAAAGCAGAAGCCAATCAGCTGTAGTAAAAAACAGAGACAGAGGACCGCTGAGTCTCCATGTTGACACAGCACTAGAGGGGCAAGGAACGAGGTGTTTGTTTGCTAAAGTGATGCCATAACCACGTTCCTTGAGCTGCATTACATCCTATTCAACACATCCCGATTCTCCAGGAGGCCTTCTGCAATGGTTTCCGGTTCCTCATCTCCCCTTGGAGCTTTTCTATAAATCTGTATGACATTAGCGTGCTCTGCTTCCTACAACACGATGCTCCTTCACTTCTTCCCCAGACCTATTCTGTTAGTCTTCCCCAACTCAATAAACCACACACCATCCATCCAGCTGCTCAAGCCAAATATCTGGGAGGGTTTAAAAAAAAAAAAAAAACAACTTATGGATATTTTCAAACATTGACAAAAATGAAGAGAATGGTACCTATTACCCAGTCTTGGGGAGTATCAATATCTTATTAAGTATGCTTTACCTATTCCACACCATATCCCAGATCAAAGAAGTTAATTCTGATTTTATTTTTCCCTTCAGCCCTCACAACCAACTTACAGGAAAGTCTTACTGTTATTTCTAAAACTTATTCTGAATCCATCAATTTCTCATTTTCACTGATATCACCTTAATGTAAGCCACATCATTTCTCAACTACACTATCACAACAGGCTCCTAATTGGTCTCCCTGCTTCCGCTTTTGCTTCCTACTTCAACTCCAAAAAGCAGCCAAGATGAACTTTAAAAATGAGAAATCAGCTATGTGTAGTTTCCAATCGCATTTAGAATAAACTCCAATTTCACAAAGCCTTACCTCAGGCCTGCTTACTTCTCTGACCTCATCTCATAGCCTCTCAGTCCTGCAAAGCCACACTGGCCTTCTTTATGTCCTCTGAACTCCAAGCCCAGTCCTGCCATAGGGCCCCTGCATGAGCTGTTGCCCTGGCCTGCAATGCTCTTTGCCAGATCTTCACCACACTGGCTCCCTGCTGTCTTTCAGACCTCAGCTCAAATGTCGCATCCTCTGAAAAGCCTTCCACCCAAGCTATGGTAGTCCCTTGATCACTTGCTACCACATCACCATTTGAATCCTCTATGTAACTTTGATTACCACTATTTGATACTTTTATCTCTCTTTTTGAAAAAATTTCTCTCTCCCCACTTAAGTATAAGCTGCTGGGAACAGGGATGATTAGGAGACCTATCCAATATGTATGTTCATTCTTCTTTTTCATAAAAAATCCTGATTTCGTTCAGATATCAACTCCTCCCCTATAGTCATGGGCCTCAGGAGAAGCAGACCCTTTAATCCTCCAACTCCAGGGAATGGCAAGGCTGACTGATGAAAAATCTGATATCCCTTGCCAGTGACCAGCTCAGAAATGAGTGTCTGGCATTATTCCGACCAAGAGAGATAGGCAAGGTTCTCTAGAGGCTTCTGAAAAAGTTGTTCCCTGCTCCTGTAAGAATCACAGAAAGCCCTAGTCTTTTTCTCCCTCTGGTCATAAATGAAGATACATGGTGGCATACCCCATCTATTAGAAGAACAATCTTTAGGATGAAGTCAACACTACCATATATGCAGAGGAGACAGAAGGAAAGAACTTACGTCTTTGATGACATAGTTGAATCTCCTGATCAACCAATCTATGAGTCAATACTACCCTGACTTCCTTCTATATGAGCTAATGAATGTCCTTATTATTCAAGTCAGTTTAGGTTAGATTTTCTGTTATCCATAGGTGAAAATACACACAGGGATTTCAAGTACCTTACCCATGGGCTATACTTGCAGCACCTAGAAAAATGCCTAGAATATGGTGGGCACTTAAACAAATATATGTTGAATGAGTTAAGTGGAGGAGTCTAAAATAATAACTAATGAAGGAGAAAGAATCCTAAAGTAGTTATTCTCTGTTTAGCCTGCTTAACTATAAAGTCATTAAATCCTTAAGAAAGGTATCTACTTCAGTACTATTAAGCAAGCACAAAGATGTTCTTGATGAAGGTTTTAAAATGTCAACCTAACACTGGAATATGCCACCATCATTACAAACGGAAAATGTCACTTTCAACAAGCATGCACACATTTATAAAAACTTACAGGTTCTTGGGGGTCTGTTTCTTCCCATGCTCCCCAACCATCATCTTCCCAGTTCGATTTACCTATTATTAAAAAAGATGAAAAGTGCTTACATGAAATACAGAGCTTGAAATATTTTACTAAACATTATCTCTAAACATAATAGAACCAACACCTAATATATAAATATTACATAAATATGTATTATATAAATATAATGCTGGTATTAAGGAAGAAAAAAAGGTAAACTATACAACAGCAGGATTTTGCTATATGTAATAATAATTAGGAAACATTTGGCCTGAATTTCCAAATCTATGTAATAGTAAAACTGCAAGTTATTCAGATCTTAAGATATTGGATATCAGGTTCGTCCACATTTAAACCAAACCACAAAAGTGAATTTTAAGAATCTTTAAAATGACAAATATTTGTTGCTCAGACACGAGACAAATTAAATATACAGTGACGAAAACACATCTAAAATTCCACACAGAGGTCTTCATGTAACTTATCCTTTCATAAGACAAGGTATCAATGAAAAAAAAAAAACCTGAAGTTTGAAACAAAAGATCTACGATTTCTGATATTTTCCAATACTCTGTGATTTCTTACACATAAGAACAGTTTCTTAGATTAAAAGAAGATGTTCAACAAACACTGAAACAAAGAATTAAAAATCTCATAGGTATGGAGATTATGATCCCTTATACTGCTCCTATTAACTTGTTTTTCTATAATTATCTTTGAGTTTCTCTCTTATATCAGAAAAGGAGGAATAAAGCTATCACTTTTTGAGCAACTACTCTGAGACAAATATTAGATATTTTATATATATTACCTCAAACTAAATTAAAAAAACAGATAAAGTTCAAAGAAAATGTGAGAAGAACAGGCCCTTACATAACTATAAATTTAGGCCCCAGAATAAGATTGCCTAGGTTCATATCCTGGATCTCACACTTACCATCAGGTTACCCTATGTCTGAAAGCTTTACTTATCTCCATAAAAGCATGGAAAACAGAAGTGCTTACATCTAGTAGGGTTGTTACAAGGATTTAAAACAAAGAGCATACTAAAGTCCTCAGTGCCTGATGCATAAGTTCTCAATGCTAATCTCAAGATTTAGCCATTAAAATACAAAATCTAAATAAAATACTGTATTTAAACCAATCAGCTTCAAATTTCTAGGGAAGAATCATTTTAAAAGATGGGACTGAACCTGCTATCTAGGATGCTTACAGTAAGAAGGACACAAATACAACTTCCAATTATATATGTTTTAAAAGTTGCTAAAATGAATTACATATAGATGATAAGAAAGTTAACAGTCTGGTATTTGAAATCATTGCTCAATTAGCTTTGTGATAATATTCTCGTCTTTGGTACTCAAATACCAGGTAACTACTTCCTAACATGCCAAGCACATTGCTAGCCATATATTAAGTCCTAAAACATCTGATTAGCACTGCACAACTTACAGAAGATTTCCATATATGTGTCAATTAAATAATTTAACAAATACACTGTTAAATGCCATGTGCCATGCCCTATAGTAGGAACGGAGAAAAATTCAAACATATTCCTTGTCCTTAAAGATTCTGTGATCTAACGTAACACATAACTATAGTACGTGGGGAGTACTGTAACAACTACCATAAAAGGGATGAGTGAGAGAGATGACAAAACACAGGGAGAAGTCACCTTAAACTAAGTCTTTAAAAAGCAGTGAGGAACTTTTCAAATATACTTGAAGAAAAGGTCAACATGAGGAAAGGCAAAAAGGCGTAACTCACATATAGGAGTTATCAAGCAACAACTAACATGTATTCAGCATTTCTATGTGTCTAAGTGCTTTATAGACATTAATTCACATAAGCAAGACAAAGATTCTCTATCATCCCCTTACTACAATGAGAAAACCAGATTACTTAGTTTATATAGCTTCACCAAGATCACCAGAGGATTAAGTGGCAGAGTGGGATTTCAAATCAGGGCTTCTGGAGTTCCAAAGCCCATGCTCACAAGTATTCTGCTATACTTCCTTCACCTACGGCTAATGAAGAGGCATAAAAATTAGGAAACATGGGGCTTACAGTTAAGGCCAAAGCGAGATTATTACATATTATTTTAAAAGAGAAGCATTCCCTCGATATCAAGATTTGGAAGTTTTTTTCATAACCTGGAAAATTACAGTTTGTTCTTTGGCAATCTAATTCACTTAGGCAATTTCTTTATTCTGCTAATTTTTCACTACACTGAAAACAACTGCCTTATTGTGGGCTGATGGCAACTAAGCCATCCCATCTACAGAGTTTTAGAAAATGCTGTTTTTCTTGTTCGAGAAAGCAAAGCACCTCAAAAAGCTTATCACTCTAAAATCCGGGATTCGGTTTTAATATTGCTATAAAAAGAATGTATCAAAATACCACAATCTCAGAAAGACCCTGAAGAATTGCAAGCACTTCATGGGGCCAGCTAATGATTCTTCGTTCGTTCGTTCATTCGTTCATTCATTCATTCATTCATTCATTCAACAAACACAACAACATCTTTTGTGTGTTGGCCACTGTGCTAAGTGCTGGAGAAACAAAAGCAAATAAGCCTTCAAAGAGCGTACTTGGGCGCCTGGGTGGCTCAGTCGTTAAGCGTCTGCCTTCAGCTCAGGTCATGATCTCAGGGTCCTGGGATCGAGTCCCGCATCGGGCTCCTGGCTCGGCAGGAAGCCTGCTTCTCCCTCTCCCACTCCCCCTGCTTGTGTTCCTGCTCTCGCTATCTCTCTCTCTCTCAAATAAATAAAATCTTAAAAAAAAAAAGAGCGTACTTGGTGCACATAACCTCTGCTGAATGCCGTACGATACTATGAAAAATGTGTTATTTCTCCTCTTTATTGGAATAAAAAGTACCTGACTCAATTCACAAATGACTCATACAATCAAACACAAGACACAGCAATTTGGATTTCCTGCCCCTGCAGAGATCCAGGATCTCTTAATGCCGTAATTCAAAACATCCAGGAAGAGAAGTCCTTGAGAAATACTTTCTTTATATATTTGCGTTCAATGGAAAGTTTTTTTTCCACTTCTCAAGGCCCCTGACTGAGAAATTTCTATTAACAAGAGAGAAAGGGGACTTAATCAGGCATCTCCTCCTGTCATGGGAATACATTTTCTAAAGTCATCGTACAGAGTTTAAAGGAAGGTGAAACAGAACTATTAGGAATGTTAAAGATGTGTTTGAGGGTTGGTCTGGAATCCTAAGTCTATTTATAATACTATAAGAAAATGCATTCTAGATTCTAGTCAACTTAAAAATGGAAAACATTTATTTTCTTTTATAGATATTATCTTTTTGAGAGAGAGCGAAAGATCACAGGAGAGGGAAAGGGAGAAGCAGACTTGCCACTGAACAGAGAGCCCGATGGAGGGCTCGATCCCAGGACTCTGGGATTATGACCTGAGCCAAAGGCAGACGCTTAACCTAGTGAGCCACCTAGGCGCCCCAACATTTTTTTTTTTAAGGGAAACATTTGCAAACTGGGCATTACCTTTATGTCTATTTCTACTCTGTGCTGGTAATATAAATTCTGCAGTCTTCTGAGGTCTGTTGAAAATCATTTGATACTATTTTGCAGGCTGCTATTTGACAGGTACTGTCCGCTGTTAGAAAGTGTTGGAATCTTACCACTGTACCAAGGTTACTTCTTATGCCTTTAAACTATGCAAGCAGGCCAAGCACATTATTGGGGGAAAAAAAAAAAAAAGAATGGTGTATATTAAAAAATAGCTGATGAATGTCTAATCAAGTTGCCATTCAGGTGAACAATTTTATTCAGGCAGTCTTTCCCTCTGGTAACTTTTCTATGAAGGTTGGTGTTCTTCAGTTGATCCCATTATCAGTGTTTTTTAATTGATCCTTAATCAAGGTTGTGGATAACAAAAGCAATGTATTTAACATATATTTAAAAACTGTACACTGTTTAATGTCAATATGAACCATTAGTTTAAGACCTTAAGATCTATAAATTCTATGTACTCATGACAAAATAACACTAACTTTTTATTATCACTTACTATAAAGAAAAGCTAAAAATAGTTCACCATGATTGTCTTAGAATAAATGGATTAAAATTACCCTGGCCCATAGGAGTTTTTTTGGTAACTCTTTTTGCAACCTGTAACAAAATCACCCATAGGAGATTTTGAATTTTAATACTAAGCTGTGGTATAACTTAAGTGGTAAATCAGTTTAACAAAGTGTATTATAGGGCGCCTGGGTGGCTCAGTTGGTTAAACGACTGCCTTCGGCTCAGGTCATGATCCCGGAGTCCCTGGATCGAGTCCCGCATCGGGCTCCCTGCTTGGCAGGGAGTCTGCTTCTCCCTCTGACCCTCCCCCCTCTCATGTGCTCTCTCTCATTCTCTCTCTCACAAATAAATAAATAAAATCTTTAAAACAAAAAAAAACAAAGTGTATTATAGAATAAGGGCACCAGAACATACAACTCTTCGGGGTGGTTAGGGTCCTGTGTAAAAATTCCAAACACTCCACAGATCACTAAATCATAAAGCCAATGGCACTTACCCAGTTTGCTCACTGAGTTAAGTAGCACTCATTTCAGTCAAAGGCTAGACTAAATTATAAGGTAATTTTAAGTGTTCTCCTCATTTATTAAGTAAGAAGCAAGCACCCAATCTCTGAAAAGCAAATCTTTAACTGTCATCAACTTCCTATGTCTTTCATTTTGCTGAAGTCCAATTCAACAAAATTGATCAAAAAACTAAGAGAATGAGATTCACACTCACTGCCTTAATAAAACCAGAGTTACTATCTCTTCTGCAGCTTCCTTTCTCTCTAGGTAACCTTAAAAACTCTGCAAGAAATGCAAATAATGGGGGCGCCTGGGTGGCTCAGTCCTTAAGCGTTGCCTTCGTTAAGCATCTGCCTTTGGCTCAGGTCATGATCCCGGGGTCCTGGGATCCAGCCCCGCATTGGGCTCCCTGCTCTGAGGGAAGCCTGCTTCTCCCTCTCCCACTCCTCCTGCTTGGGTTCCCTCTCTCGCTGTGTCTCTCTCTGTCGAATA